TTTTAAACCATTAAGACTGGAGAAAGGACTAGCAACCTTCCTTTCTAATATTGACTTCACTTAGTCATATTACTGACACTCACACACATCACTGCCAACACGCTGCTTCTAACACATAGAAATCCTCGGGTTTCTGAGGCTGCTAGTCAAAATGATAGGAGACTGCCTATATTTCTCCCTTAGTTGTTAGAGTCGTTGTTAGTTGTCATTGAGTCTAGTTTGACTCATAACAACCCTATAAACAACAGATATGGACCCTGTCCTATCCTATGCCATCCTTATAATCTCTAACACCCTCATATCCATGGCTTCAGTCACTCTGTCAGTTTACCTAGTTGAAGGTCTTCCTTCACTTTTCCAAGCGTGATGTCCCTTTCCAAAGGACAACTTCTACTAGCAACATGTTCAAAGTATGTGAAATGGTGCTTCATCATCATTGCCTTCAAGGAGCACTTCTTCAAGGCATATCTGCTTATTCTTTTGGTAGTCCACGGGATACTCTGCATTCTTCTCCAAAACCACTGTTCAAAGGAACTAATTATTCCTCTATCATCCTTATTTACTGTCCAGCTCACAAATGAATGACAAGTGACTTTAAAGACCATGACCTGAATCAAGTGCACCTTTGTCCTCAAACTGCCATCATTGTTCTTTAATTATTTTGAGAGATTGTTGACTGCAGACTGTTCCAGTACAATATATCTTCTGGTCTTCTGACTGCTAATATTAGGAATTAGACAAGATTGAAATGATCAGAAGCCACCAGAAATGAAGGAAGAAATGTGAACTATACTGATGGCATTGGGGGGAAAAAATAAGACACCAGGAATCTATGAGATAACAGTCAAAATGTTTCAAATGACATATGCAGCTGTGGATGTGCTCACCAGTCTAGCCAGGAAGTTTGGAGGACAGCTGCCTGGCCAACCGACCAGAAGAGATCCATGTTTGTCTCCATTCCCAAGAAAGGTGATCCAACAGAATGTAGAAATTGTAGGATAATAGCATTAATATCACATGCAAGCAAAATATTCCTGAAGACCTCGAAAGGAAAAAAGGTAACCAATCCAATTAAAAAAAGAGCATAGGATATGAATAGGCACCTCACCAAAAATGACATTCAGATGGCAAACAGACACATGAATAAATGTTCAAAATCCCTAGCAAATCCCTAGAGAGATACAAATCAAAACAACTATGAGATACCATCTCACCCCAGTAACAATAGCAGGGCAGCAACTAACAAAGTTGGCAAGGTTATGAAGAGATTGAAACTTTTATTCACTGCTGCTGGGAATGGAAAATGGTACAACCGCTATGGAAGGTGGTCTTGTGCTTTCTCAGAAAGTTGGATTTAGAAATACTATTTGACCCAGCCGTCCTATACTAGGAATATATCCTAAAGAAACCAGAGTTTCCACCCAAACAAATGTATGCACACCCATGTTTATTGTTGAATAATTCACAATAACAAAGAGATGGAAGCAACCCAAGTGCCCATCAACAAATGAATGGATAGAAAAACTACGGTATATTCACACGATGGAATATTATGCAGTACTGAAAAACAAGAAACTCACAAAATATTACACAACATTGAGACCCTGGAGGACATTATGCTGAGTGAAATATCTCAGTCACAAAAGGACAAATACTTCATAACAGCACTTTTATAAAACAGGATTGGAATTGGTGTTGGGGGACACTAAGAAAAGAGGGAATAAGTAATGAGTGCTACATTGGAACAAGTGAAGGAAAGAAATGTTTAAAAGGAATATATGGTTAAGCATTATTTCTATGACAACAGTCCAAAATAAGAGGTGCATAACAAAGTGGACGGCAAGAAGAATGGGAAGAAGGGAGAAAATGACACAATAGTGAATGTTTTGTTTTGTTTTTAAATGGACTGGGAGTGGGTAGGGAGGAAAATGTGAGCCCATGAATGAATGAAAACTCAACTTTTCTGTAAACTTTCTTTTGTACTACATCAAAAACAGGTGCCCTTGATTGACTCATAATAATCCCCTGTGTGTAGTGCAGAAGGTGACAGTCGTGTAAGAACAAAGACTATGATTAAGCATTTTACGTACAACAGCCCAGAATAAGAGATATATCATTGGAAAGAGGACTGGGGGAGTACACGGAG